CACACACACACGTACACACACACGTACACACACACACTTGTTTACAGGGAGGTATCAGCAGATTCACAACCAGGAAACAAAAAGCTTCTTTCAGACGTTCACGTCACAATGAATCAGGTCTTGTTCACTCTTCTTCTGGAAATATCACTTTATCTTTTCTGCACAAAAAAAATCAGCTTGAAAATCTTTTTTAACTTTTAAAAATTTCAAATGAATCTATATAAATATCATGAATATTTTTTACGTGGTAAAACGAGAATATTCTGATGTCGATAGTCTGAATATTCTTGTGTGATCATCACTAACAGGACGTCGTCCTCATGTTGCGATCGCTTGCTATCACCTCTTGTGGTAGAAAGGGGTATTACGAGAGATGACAGTTAGCATGCTATCTTTAGCAGATGTCCCTGCAGCACAATACACAAACGTCTTCAACATGACATCCTGTTTTGTTTTGTTTTGCATTTTAAAAATATACACATTTATTTTCTAAGCTGAACACACGAGTGTCTGAGTTTAGTGAAGAGACGATTTCTTAAAAGACTGAATATTAAATCTTTCCCTCCGTGTCTGTTTCAGTGCCTCGACCACCAACCTGTCCGGCGGCTTTGACTCCGGCGGCAGCTACCTGAGGAAGAGTCCGGACCAGTACAGCTCGAGAGGCAGCATGGAGAGCCTGGACCCTCCCCATTCCTCCCAGCTTCACTCCGGAGCTCAGCACCACCACCCGCTGGGACACCACGCCCACAGTGGACCTCACCCTGCCTACTCGTCCTGCCACCAGCTGTCCTCTGCCAGGTTCACAACGACAAATACGCTTCAGCAGACACCGACTGAAAGTGTGACGAGTACAAAACTCTCTAATTAAATCTCTTGTTGTAATTCAGGTCCTCCAACAGCATCGACCACCTCCACAGCAAACGAGACTCCGCCTATTCCTCCTTCTCCACCAGTTCCAGCATCCCAGAGTACCTTGCCTCCACCCCCTCCTTCAGCCCAGAGCGCTCCTATTCTCTAGAGACCGTCCCTCAGAGAGAAGGAGGAGGTGGTGAGATGCAGCAGGCTGACATTCATTACATCCAGGCTGTTTACGACAACCAGCAGGGCCTATCTCAGGAGCACGAGCTAAGTTCCTCCTCCGCAGCGATGCTACGCAACCAAGATTCCAGAGGGACGAGGCCGGGGCTGAACCGAGATCTGCAAGGTGAACTTTCTGTTTTAGGAGTTTTCAGGTGACGTTATACCGACGTGATGATCACCTCTTTTCTTTGTACCATTGGTTGCAGGATCATTGGTTGGCGTCTGCTACCGTGGCACCAGCAGCGGCAGCAGCAGCAGTAGCGGCAGCAGCAGCGGTGGCGTGCCGGCTTCCAACAGACACAGCGTAGGTCCCATATGGAGCCCGGCGGCCAGCGGTAGCTCCTACGAGAGCCTGAAGGGGGCACCAGCTCCACCGCGGCGCAGTGACAGCTATGCAGCGATCAGGAACCACGAGAGACCAAACTCCTGGTCCAGTTTGGACAATGCCCGGTCGCTGCGGTGAGGAGAGGATCAGAGTGATAATTGATTCGAATGCAGAATTATGGGGGAGTGATGATGTTGAGGAGAAGTTGTTAGAAAGTCTGACTCACTGTTTCCTACAAACACCTCATTACGAGAAGGATTTTCTTAAAAGCTCCGAATTTATGTTTAGAAAATGGAATGACACTTTTATATTCTTATGTATTTACTCAGGTCTCTGCAGAAAGGTTCCTGGCATCACTCCAGTGGCCCCGTGGCCTCAGGCGCAGGTACCGTTCAAGTCTATCTCCAATGTTTTGGTTTTGTTTAGTGAGCAGCCGGTGCAAGCTGCAGTGTTTTGTCTTACAAACTTCTCTGTGGTTCCAGCTAAAGGCTCGTATGGGATGGAGGGTCAGCTCCACACAGTGATAGAGAAGAGTCCAGAGAGTAGCCCCACCACGAAGCCTCGTCAGGGTGGAGGGTTTCCTCAGCCGCCCTCACCCCCTGAATCTTCCTCTGGGTCTGTAGGCCCCGCCCCCCAGTCCGGCCGACTCATACTTCCCACTGTGATGTACCCCGTCCCCCAGCCCGAGCCCCACTATGCACAGATGCCCAGTTCCAACCCTGGACCAGGCTCCTCTGCTGTCTACCCGGCCCTCGCTAAAGAGAGCAGCCGACAGCAGCGCCAGGGGCTACAGGGAACTGGAGGGAGGGATGAAGGAGTGACAGAGCAGCAAAAAGATGGAAAGATATCAACTACAGAAAACGGACACCAAAATAACATTCCTTCTTCTTCACCGTACCCAGAATCCTTCTATCCCTCTTCACAGCTCAGGACTGAAGCACACGACGCAGACAGGTGACGACTTTAAATCACAAACTCACTTGACTTCTTCTAAAAGTTGTAATGCTCACTCAGTCTTTTACTTCTATCAGGCCCCAGCAGGCAGATTCAACCGTTGGACAGTACGGTACCTACTTGAAAGCTCCTGGAGGACGATCAGAGGGTCCACCAGGGGCCCAGAGGCCCCAAAACCACCAGGAACCTTTCAGTCAGAGCTACCACGGGTCCTATAGTCACAAGGACCAGGGACCCCACAGCCACGTGTTCCAAGAACAGAACCAAGGTTTCCACATTCCCCATAACCAGCCCACCCCTCCCAGGCCCTCGTCCTCACAGGAGTGGAGGGACCCCTACCCACCTGTCCAGTCCAGAGGAGACCAGAGCAGGTATGGAGGGATCTGGGCCGTGAATCCATGTGTATACAAGCAGGTTAAAACCAGAAGACATTACTCCATGTCAGTGATTTCTTCTCTTCCTCATCATCTGTTAATTATTTTTCACTCCATTCAGATCAGTGGACCAGACCAGCATTCATTCAGACTCAGAGGCGTTCTCCAGGTCTTCACAGGGACAGGTACCACCCACCCACTCTCCTGTTCACTCTCAGCATCAGGCTCCACCCACCTCTGCCCCCCAGACGTCTCCCCGTCATCTCAGCGACTCAGCGGCTTTGCAGTACCAGCACTGGGACCACAGAGAGCGGGAGAAAGACAGAGAACACCCACTGACTCGGCTGGAGATCGCCCTCGTCGAGGTGCAGCGCTGCGCCAGCTCTGACAGTGTCGTCTCTGCCAGTAGCCATGGCAGCAGTAGCTTTGAAGATGGCAGCCACGGGCCAACCCGTAGCCTCTCGGTCTTGGAGAAAGTCAGTCGCTTTGAGCGCCGGGAACGTGCCGGAAAGCAGCGCAGTCACAGCACAAACAATTCACAGAGCAAAGCAAACCATCAACGGGTAAATCAAACTTAGAAATCGTTTTTAAAGAGCATTTGATTGTAAAAAGCACCAAACTGATTTCAACTAACCTCATATATCGATGCTTCTGTTTTTATTTTCTCTGGATCAGATGACTGAGAAAGGCCGGAGCTCCCCCTGCGGAGCAGATGACCTGAGACACATGCTGGAGAGAAGCACTAATGGGACCAAAGCCCACAGAACTCTCAGCTACAGGGGAACGAGCAACGACCTCATGAAATACAGGTAGAAGAGAAGCTGGAGCTAATGGAGCTGAATGTCTTTTCCCTGCATCAGATCTATATGATCCCAAAATGAGTTTGAAATATTATCTGTATTTATAACAGTTACACTTTTTCTCTGTGGTGCCCAGGACTACAGCAGATCCCAGTTCAGCTCTCCAGAGGAGTCGCAGCAGCTTCCAGCTGGAAGATTCCAGGGAGATGGACGGCAACAAAGACTTCACATGGAGACAGGACGTCCAGGAGGTGCTGGGCACCATGCAGGACACGCCCCTCAACAGGTCAGAGAGCTTTACTGGTTTAGAGTCCTCCAACAATTCAGGCTCCCGACAGCTTACAGGCCTTCACAAGGTCAGAGTTCTCAGACAGGATCTCCAACAAGTCAGAGTCCTTCAACAAGTCAGAGTCTTCCAGGACCTAAGAGGTCGATCATAATATACTGAGTCTTAATGCATCTGTATCCTCTGTCTCTGACCAGATCTTACAGAGACTCTTTGAAAGATGCCCAGTCTAAGGTCCTGCGGTCCACCTCCTTCAGACGGAGAGACCTCAGCTCCTCAATCAGTCCTCCACCCGCAGCTCCTTGTCCTGCGTTCTCCTCCAGCAGCCACCAGCCTCCAGCCGTCCCGGCCAAGTATCACTCCCTGGAGAAAAAAGGCCCAAAAACCATGCCCAAGCCACATGGCATCATCATCACACCACAGTCCCCACCGCCGGTCACTTCCCCTCACACCCCGAAGGAGCGGCACGTGGTTAGCCCGGAGCTTCGAGGACAGAGCCCGCCAACTCTTCCCAGCGTCCCACCAGTTGGACCACCTGCTCTGACACGGATCTGTGGCCGCAAGCGTCTGATGGCCGAGCAGAAGAAGCGCTCATACTCGGAGCCAGAGAATTTGAACGAGGTTGGGGTTTCGGATATTGAGACTGCTGCCCTCTTCAGGCGTGGAGGAGGTAAATAAGAGCACTTTAGACAAAGCAGCCGCACACAAATTTACCAAGTCAATAACATTTTGAGTCTATATGTGGCTAATCATGAGCTCTGACCCTGATCTCCCTCCCAGAGACCAGCGTGGCAGACCGGCGGAGGATATTTGAACTGGCAGCCAGTCGTGTCGGGGGCGGGGCTTCTCAGAACGCCGCGCCGAGGCCCGACCTACGGCAGCTTCAGCACGACGCTCTCACCGAGTATGTGGAGAGGAAGAGAAGCGTGAGGAGAGGAGAGGGAGGACAGAGGAGGCCACGCAGTGCTTTTATACAACCTGACAACAACAGTCATATGGGTGAGTGAGTGAGGAGGAAGTGATGAGTGGATCGAGAGAAAGAAAACAATGACGACAAAGACAAATATAAAATCACTTTCTACCTCTCTCTCATTTTCCCCTGCTTCCTTCCCTCTGTCCTAACTTCCCTCCAGTCTCCTACAGTTACTCAGAAACCCAGAGCCTCTCCTCCGCCTCCAGCTTGCTCTCCCTCCAGGACTCTGGCCCAGAACAAAGCCACTCTGGGGAGCGGCGCATCTGCTCCACCGTTCTCCCTGGAACCGACCTGCGTAACCACCAGTCCAACCTCTTCTACCCGGGCAGAGTGATGAGTCCAAGGCCTCCAGCGCACCCGCCACACCGGTGACCAAAAGCAGACACATGCAACATCTAACGCCGGCTTCTTTCCATAGTCATGTGGTTTTCAGGATTTCAGTGTCAGGGTCTCATTCGAAATATTAATTTTTTACAGTTTTATAACTTTTTCTGTTTTCTATTTGCAGTGCTCCTCCTGACTCTCCTCCTGAGCCCCAGGGCAAGCTCCTCCAGGACCTCAGTGCTGAGGCAGGTCTCAGCAGACACAGTCAGTCTTTGAGCAGAGACTCAGGTCCGGGCCACCAGCAGCCCGACGCAGAGGCTCAGCTCAGCCTGGGTCTGTCCAAGCAGCTCAATGGGGCTCTGGAGAGGGCCGGGTCGAATCGGAGCCCAGGAAGGTCGGTGTCTGCTGAGGATCTGCTGGGGCAATCCGAGAGACAACCGACAAACTTCCTCTCCTCCGCCTCCGTGGAGAGAGTTAACAAGGTAAGACCCAAGTATGGAAGTGATGTCACATCACAATACTCCTCATTTACATGATGCTAGTCAGGCTTGTCCTGTAATGACGGCAGGTAAAGCGAGAGCAGAGTTATTTCCTACATGCGCTAAAAATAGTTAACCAATCCCAACTGAGAGGTGCAGCTGACCAATCAGAGAAGACTGGGCTTTATCAGGAGGAGGGTCTTAAAGAGACAGAGGCTGAAAAGAGGAGCTGCAGCGATGGACAGTCTGAGGACACTCATGTGATTTCTTAACATTTGTGCATTTAGACCTTTCACAGTAATCACACTTATTAAAATGACGAGCAGATTTATCGCGTCCGACAAGGATAAAATATCCAAATGTCTTTCAAAACAACACTAGACACAAGTTCTAAGTCTTAAGACAAAGTTGCATCTCAGCTTTAGAGTTTGTGGGATATTGTCCACTCGGGTAGGAAATTAAATATATGAGCTTCTTGAAACAAATCTGAAACAGTCGTGATCCTTGATTATTTGACGACAGTTTGCCGTTGGGACATTTGGTCCCAGAGTCGCACAGGACAGGAAATTCCCCGAATCCTCAGGGTTTCCTGTGAGGTGCCAGAGAGCCGGAGACGGTGGCTGGGCGCTGTCCGATGTGGACGATGGCAAAGATAACACGCGCACGTATACAGAACATACGACAGATCTACAGAGGTCCTAAAGGATGAATTTGTCATTTATCTCTGTCAGTGATCAGAGTGTCACATAAACATCATTAGAGTTCAGACAGACCAACGGACACTCTGTCCTCGGGGGGGGGGGCAGTTATTTCAGGTGATTTTTATTTATTTGTTTTTTTAATCCACTGGTTCATGACTCCAGATTCTGCTGGAGAGTTGTCGGTGTGTGAGTCTACAGCCGAGCAGAAAAAAAATGAAAATATCGCACCACTTGATTAATAAAGTGATGATTAGCACATGAAGCAGTTTTTCTTTTTAAAGTAAAAGAAGCTTGTGATGGAGATCAAACAGTGTTTTCAGGGTTTGGTAAAAACTCTGTGGTCAGACATGTGATTACTGATGATGCCACAGTCCTGGTTTGTTCTTTCTATGGTCACTTGAAAACAGGGACACTCAGTGTTTCATGAGTCAACCAGCGAACAAAAGGTTCTCTACATTTAGATTTATTCAATTAGATTCAGATGTTTACACGATAATATACATTTTCAGTAACATGATTATTGTCCAGGAGTTTGAGTAATCCTGATAATTAACAGAAACAAATGCAGATTAAAGATTTCAAGAACTTTATTTTCGTGGTTTCCTCAAAATGTGACATTTACATTTTGAACCATACTGAAATATCTCAAGGCAACAGGAGACAAAGCTGCACAT